GAGTATCGTTGTAGAGCAGGGTTGTTTCCAGACAGAACTCAGGATCGCCGGTAACAGCAACAAACTAATTTATTTCCGTAAGATAACTTCGCGAATTTAAAGCACTAAGCTTGTTCAAATTTGAATCAATTTCCATCACAGAAGAAACGCTCGCTCTAATATACATGAGGCTTAAAGTTCTAGAAACTTCTATTACAAGCTAAATTAAGTAGTTTGACACAGTTTCTAATCTGAGTAATTACATAAGGATTAGAATGTTCTGGAATGTTCTTATACAAATTGGTCACGGCTGAATGACTTCCAGTTCTAGATTGTTCTAGAAATTGACTTAGACAATTTTTCGTAACAGCCAGACCCCTGACTGAAAAGGGGCTGATGAAGGACTGCTGACTGTTGTTGTTAATTTGGTTAAATATTCATTTTGACTACATTTAATGATGGGACATCTAGGGGCTTCCACTGAGATAGCCGCTAGATAGAAGCCCCTTGGCAGGCAAATCCCTACAACCCACCCTTTTGACCCCATTTCAAGGCGAGGGATTCTCTGAACCTGGCATCAGCTTAGGTTGGAAGAAAGAAAGGCTCATGCCTGAGGAAAGCCCTGAGCCTAGCCAGGTCCCAAGGCACCCAAAGTGAGGTTTAAGATAAGGTATACCTGTTAGGGAAGTTGGTTGGAGATTTTTAGGATAGTGCCAATAGGGGTGCAAATATAGATTTGATAAGCATCACTAGACCATCTACCTTAAATCTTACTGCTGTTGTTGCGTTCTGATACGAAAGATGTAGCCAGTGAAGACACCCCAGATTTTTGCTAAAGAAAGCACTGAATACTGGAATGCAATCCATTGTGGGTCAGAGGGCTGCTGTCTGAATGGAGACAAAGAGAGCATGGAGTATGATATCCAAGGAGCAGGTAGCTTGCCACTTCCAGCTCCAAAAAATGGACAGCTGAGTCAAAAAAATAGTTTAAGGTGAATTTGCCAGCTTGCAGAAAATCAGAAACTCAGACAGCATTCAGCTCAAAGCATAATATGCTCTTGGTGTTATGGGTGTAGAGATTTCAAGATAACTTGTATAAGGTCTCCAGTGAAAGGTTGGCATTTTGGAGGCCTTAAGGCCTGATGACATTTGATACCCTAAGCACCCATTGCTGTTGGAGACAGCCAGCTGAGAGGCCTGAGAAACCTTTGATGTGAAGAGAGTGGATGACTGAATGAGTAGTGGAAGGTGTCTGCATGATGTGCAGAAAGGTATCATTTTTTCTTGACTTTTTGTTAAGATAGAGGCAGAAGGAGAGGGTGATTGTCCTGGGTGCTCCCCTCTGGTAAAACAGGTCACAGACTTGGAAGAGTTACTGCGGAATTTGGTTCTGATTTGGATCAACATGGGACCTTGTTGATTGAAATGCCAAAACTGGCAACATACATCAACTATATGATTAAGGTTTCCTTTTACTGGCCAGGGGAGGATAAGACACCTGGTAGGCCCCAGACTGGACCAACACTCAGGGTCTTAAAAAGTAACTGAGTAGAATGTGCTACCTTTGTAATTACATCTGCAAATGGTTAGACGTTGAAGTCCTCTCGGATAAGGACTATAAACCATAGGCCCTTACTACTGCATCTTCAGTGTTACATGGTTAGCAGGAATGTTTAAAGAACCCACACACTTATTGCAAACTGTAGAGCATGGAGTTCCTGTTGTTTTGGTCTGGCCTTGTGTCACAGGTTGGTGCGTAACATAGTGTTAACCTGATAGTGCCTTTTCCCCTTGAACAGAATTGTCCAAGACAACTGGCTATGTCTATGTTTATGTCTAGGAATGGGGGCTTTCAAAGAGAGGTAACAAACTAGGGCCATGATGGTGGAGGTCCTAGAAGTGTTGGAGGTAACTTAAGTGTGGAAATAACTTGACCTCGGTTGTGTGTACAGACCTCATTGCGTACGGTCTATACTCATGACCTTGGTCAAGACTCTCCTATACAGACCTCCTGCTCTATTAATATGCGCTAAATCTTGACCAAATAAGCTTAGGATTTATTATATGGGATAAAAAACAAATTTTTCTTGGGGGACGCAGCTTGTAATCCCAAGCAGGCGTGCCACCTTGCTTGCTCAGGTAGCCAATCACAGCGCTGAAATTGGTTTATCTTGCCCACTCACAGAGCAAGCCATGTAATAATGGTATTTCTTTTGCTTATGGATTATGGTATATGGCATATGGTGAGGGTCCACCACTTTAATTTTTTTTTTTTTATTTAATGCATAAATAAATATCATGATTAGAGTTTACAGATATAGAGAATGTGAATTTAGTCAATATGATAAGTGCAAAATTGATGTATGATTGGAGAGGTAGTGCATTAAATATACATGGGTGATATTGTATAATTAAAACATTGGTAGGAAATGTCAGCACAATGTAAATATTAAAATATTTTTCTATCAACGTTTAGGTCAAGTGCCTGCACAGTGTTTGGTACCACCTCTTGAAGGCCCATGCAGAGCTGCATATCGTCGTTGGTATTACAATAAAGAAAAGGGGAAATGTATGGTTTTTGTCTATGGTGGATGTGAAGGAAATGCCAATAACTTTTACACCAAACCAGCCTGCAAGATTGTCTGCATGCAACATAATAGAAGTAAGGTTATACTTATAGGTATCAATGGCTATAACAACCACAGGGCTCGAAATTAACTTTTTCGTTCGGGAGCAAGCTGGCGACTAACGAAAGAATTTTGGTCGCCAACTTATTTTATAAATAACTTATACAAGAACACGATTTTATACGTTACTTTGCATGCAAGAAAAGTCACAATTGAAGAGCGAAAACAATTAGAAACAACACAAGTAACACTTAGTTATAAAGCTACCATTGTTCTCAGGTGATGTCTCTGGCCTGAAGGTGATGGTTGTCTCCATAGTCATTTTAATCCTTTCCTCGAAGGATTCAAAGTTTGGATTAATCTTTTAGCTGAATCTTCATTCCCCGCATGTAAAAACTCACGTAATTCCTTCAACTGATTGGTATCTGCTGCCATTTTCGCAGCAAATGAAAAGCACATGGTGTTGAAGTGCGCCTGCGATCCCAGTTTCGGAAGAAGCCGCTGAAACAATATGGCGCGCCGTGAATGCAGTATCAACGTGTCAAAATACATTCAATTTTTTCGATTATCTTGTAATATTCAGACATTATTTTACTGGGGACGGAAAGGTGACATGTATACTAGCTACCATATCTGATTGATTTCCTAATATAAAGATTTAAAAACAAAAGTTGTCATGGTTTGCTTTAGTTACATGTATCATACAAAACGCGAGTCGCCAGCTGGTGACCAGGTCTGAAAATTTAGTCACCAGTGCTCAAATGTTGGTCACATTGGCGACCAGTGAGTCGCAATTTCGAGCCCTGAACCATGCAAAATTCACTGTACATTTTTCTCTAGCAAAAAAAACTGAAGATAATACTATACTACACAAGCAATTCCTCCTGTGAGATCAGCCACTCAAGAAAGTCATGTTGTAAACTTCAGTTTGCTGCTTGCAATAATGTGTTTCCCCTGATGATTGTCGTCAGTTTTCATGTCATCATTATCCTCTGTTTTGGTAGTTGAGTATTTTTAAGGGTCATTCACTGCTGTGATTTCTAAGTCAAGCATGGTGTATCTTTATCTTAAAAACTTAGCAAGTAATCATGGAGTTGCTCCATGTTGATTGTTTGCTTATTTAATACATGAATTAAAAGCCATACATTAATAAGCTTACCAGAATTTTGGTCCTGTGCTACACTTTTTCATTGCTTCTGCTGTTTACTCCGGGGAACTGCAGTTGTAGTCTGACAAATGCCATTTGTAATCTGATTTTGTTTGTAATGGTTGTTTGTTTGCACAAGATGATACACTTAACCTAACTTAACTTATTACATTTCATGTTTCTCAGGTTCGGTACAAGATTTCAATAAGACACATCCTCCACAAAATAAAACCACCAGTACCCCAGGTAGGGAATCTCATAATGTACTAGCAGAATGCCATGACTGATCTGGACATAAAAATGTATTTTATGCTTGTTAAACATTTTGGTCGCTTTTATAAATGATGTTGTCAATATGGCGTAATCTGAGAGATGTAAAATTAGTGTGGGACATGGTATGATCACAGTGCTCGAAATTAGTGGTTGTCCGGTCGTCCGAGACAACTAAAAAATGGTCCGGACAACCATGTTTCTGTAAAATTAAAGGCCTGGTTGTCTGAGAAAAATAACACCAGACAACCCAGGAGAAATTGAAGTACATACTGTTACTTTGAGGTCCAGCCGAATAAAAAAAAAAAGGTATATAAAAGATTTAAATTTGGTGTTTTAGTTTGTTGACGGAAACCACAAACCGCCATGTTTTCAAACCCAGGCCTCCCTGAAATCTTATGGCGCACAGGTAATCATTTTTTAAGGCAAAGTACTTTGCAAGTTGTCAAATATACATTTACAGGCAAGAAAATTCTGTTAATTAATCAGGGCTGTGTGAGATTAGCTAGCCAGTTTTCAGGGTTATGAACTAGGCCATTATTTAGAGTAATCAAATAGCGTATCTTTCGAAAAACATTTGACCTTATTTTGTTTGCCTTTCCCTGATGAATGTTTGACAGCTGGTCTTTGATGTATAAACCTTTAGGCTTTTCATTGAAACCACAGGCTTTTTGCTGTTGTCACTGTATTTCTCTTACGTGAATATGCAAGTGTTATACTTTTGGTTTCAAGGAAGTACTTTTGCTAAGCATTAAGTTGCTAATGCGAAAGTGCAAACATCCTGCTCGAATGATGTTTCAAGGGAGCCATTCTGCGCCACTTCGCGTCATTTATGTTATTTACTTTGCGTCATTTATGTTTGTAATTAAGCAACAAATTATACAATATTCTAAGAGCAACCAAGCAGTCATAAGGGCAACCAGAGCCAGGGATTAGGGTGTCCTGCATTTGGAATAAGGGCAACTTGGATATTATTTCAGTTTCAAGCACTGTGATCATGTAATGTGAACCTTTAAGTACATACAAAGATAGTGAAGTTTGGTGACCCCTCACCTTGTGGCCAATATGGGTTGAGTCATGCTTTGGACTAGAAAGTGTTACTTACATTTCTAACATTTCCTCATCTGAATTTGATCTGGATTTAAAGACTTGTATGAAAGCCTTTGGTATGACTGATGCAGTATTCTCTGACATCCACTCTTGAACCCCTACTGAGGGACACCTTTCAAGTGTGTCCTGAAACTACTACCAGAATCGAATATGAATAAACCATTTTAGTTGCCCTTGTCTATTAAGGGCAGTGTCTTCATTTTGGCTGTCCCACTTTAGTTGCTTTAGTGTTTCTAAATCTATTCTAGTGGCCACCAAGAACTTTGCAATATACACTTATAAAAGTGTGCATGCATGTGACTAGGCTACATTCAAGTGCATTTACGGTCATCTCATCACTTTCCCTGTACCTAAGAAGAAAATGTACTGGAAGTAAGGTGGGAGCATTTATTTCTTTTCTGCATACCATGTAAAGTAAAACCTGCCAACTGTTGTTGGTGATGATTCGTCACTTACTGGTGCTCCAAGTCCACAAAGTGGTACTCATACCAGCATTAACAGTAATAAGAAGTCAAGGGCATGGTAAGATAGTCTAGCAGTCCCACTGGCAGATCAAGATCAAGATCAAGCACAAATATCTCAACTTTGCTGTCCAAGAATTTGTGAATGAACATTTAAACAATGGAGACAGGAAGAATCCGGATCAGTTTACAACAAGAAAAACACAGTCAAGCTATGCTACAAAGCAAAAAAATCAATCATAGCTTTGCTGCAGGAAAGAGCAATTATTACAGAAAAGTAAAAGTCAAAATGTTTGTTCCACCAAAATAACTGGCTAGGAGACCTAAGTAAGAAAAGTATTGTTAGTTGGAATGAAAACGGAAGAGAAACTGCAGGGGATGGAAGGCTGACAACATAATGAAAACTAAAGGCTGAAAACACCCTTACATTCTGCCACATGTCAGAACTGAGTATCATAAACACTGTTTTGTGAAGAGATGCCTTTTCAGTTTTATTTAATTGTTATTCATGCATTTGTAAAGTAGTTTGTAATTAGTTTCTTATAGCAGTTAGTGATATGAAATTGTAAGTCCAGACGTATGACTCTGGGCATGTTTCTTTTGGTATTTCTATTTATTAATAAAGAATTTTAAATAATCGTGGACATGGCCAAGATGAGTGGTTTTTGGCAAGAGCTCCCTTAAAAGCTTTGAAAAGGAAAATGCTGCATGCTGACATTAAGTAATGGAGACTTGTGCAAGCATTCATCCAGGGAGATCCAGTAATGACTGAAGTGTTTCTTGGTGCCACAAACAGGGAGAATGTCAACTGGACTTACAACAATTCTACCTTAGTTTAAAGCAATAAAGTATAGGTAGTCCATTTGTCAGTTCTGTGCTTAGTGGTCAGGCCTTTAAGCAGATGTGAGGTTACAGTTGCCTTCGCTAGCTTTTAAATGCAAGTTATCCTGTTCTCGTGCTAATCAGTGTCTAATTTCTATCATCACAAGGTCAGCGCAAACCTCACTCTCATGCAGAGGCTCATGGAGTTACATTTTGCCAAACTGAAAAATGGTCCATTAACAAATAGCCCTAATTCACTATTCAATAAAGTTGGGAAATCTACCCTGTTTAAGATTGACAAACTGTTAACTGACTGCACAATGTCAGCCTGGCTAAATAGAGCTGTATAAAGCATATTGAAAGTTGGAAAATGGAAGGCGAGCTGAAGATGGCTGCTTTGCCTGTAAGACTGAAATGGGCTGTATAGAGTGGTTTTCACCTGAGCTTGAGTGTTTAAAATTAATTGGTTTTTCGTTATTAGTTGTCACACAATTGCAGTAAAAAGGGTGTGTCACTTTTTAATCCCATCCGAAGTAAAACCAAACCAATTGTGACTCGCTCGCACATGTTTTTTTCCCACTTTATGTATAGCTATATGTATTTACTTCAAGGTTTGATTGGTTGATTGGATTGTCTATCCTTTGTGATTGGCTAGAGTGATTACATTGGTTTTGGTACTTAGACTCTTAAGGCAAAACTGCCCTATGTATTTCCTAAACCTATTGTTATTAGGTGGTATGGTAGCGTGGGATTTTCTTGAAAGGAATGGTTTGATTCTTAATGATGAGGTGTTCATGACAATTATTAGTGAAACCTTGAGGTTGGGAATATCAACCTATTTACTGAATTATGTGCAACAGTTTTCATACATTGTAAGTATTGAAACATATTTAAGTAAAGTGGCATTTCTATTACATCTTTTACTCAGGATCTTTTGGTAGCAACACCAAGATTAGCACCTTCTGTGTACAAAACATAGGCATGCAAGGCGTGCAAGAGTTTTTTTGTGGATTAAAAGCCCCTGGAGATAGCAGCACTCACTCTTAACAGTTATGATAAGGTTAATCCAACAAGTTTGTTTGGTTGCAATGTACAGGGCAGAAAGAAAAAATTAGAATTTTTTTCACTGTAGGTTTAGCTTACAAAACATTCTTTAGTTTGTACTGATGCTGGTGATGGATGTTTCGACAACCTGAGCAGAAAACATCTTCAGAGTCAAGTGAATATTTTGTCAGTTGATGGTGTTATAAATCTGCTCCGTTGAAAGTGATTTGTCAGTTTAGCCATGATGATATTGGCGGTAAGACTCGTGTAAAGTTGTCATCAGTCATTGGTCGGTTTTAATCCATCTATTGTTAGTCAAATCAGTCCTACTGTTAATCAAATGAAGTTGGTCTGTTAGAGGTCAGTTTGTCGGTTTCGTTTACATCATGGATAAAGTCATTTGTAAGGTGCCGGTAGTTGCTGACATCTGTTAAGAGGGGATTGTTCCAAGTTAGAGTACCAGCTTTCAAGAGTCAGTCATTGAAAATAGTTTGTTCTCTAGGTTCTCTTTGAAACGCTTCTCAGTTGTATTTAATAATTGACATCATTGTGTATTAATTTGAAGTGGTTTTATTGCTAAGGGCAAAGGTGGCAACAGAATAAGAACACGCTATTCCGTGACTTGACATGTCAGATGTGACTATCTAATAATTAGATTAGTTTTTGTTTATCTGTGAAATGATAATTAGCGTTCTGAAGGAAAATCGTTCTTGTTCCATTTTCACCAGATATTCAACTTTATACCAGTTTTTTCCAGCAATGAAGAAAAAGCACATTACTCCTATGTTTTCGAGAAGACAAGAGTTTCGTGTTGTATACCTTTATGAGGAAAACAAAAGTATCAAGTTACAAAGGCTGCGTGAAGAGTAAAATTGTCATGTTTACTGGTCAACGTATTATTTAATTTAACTCATTTTACAACAAGACCCAATTTAGCATGGTCTTATTCTGTTACCAGCAATGATCATATTTTTTTTTCGGTTTTGACATTCATAGAAACCACTTCAAATTAATATCGATATCAAAACCCATTTAAACGAGAAGACATTAGCCTTACCTAACTTGAGACTTAAAACAACCAGACATGTGAAAAGTTCTTTTAATTTTGTAAGACGCTATGAAATCTGCAGAGTTTGGGACGTTTCCTTGTCACATTATCCTTCCCAATGCATGAGAGTTTTTTGGTTACAGAACGTCAGTTACAGAAAAAGTTTTGGCACTTTATGGGGGATGTAGTAAGTTAACCTTTTTGAACCGTGTAAGGAATCTGTTTCAAAACCAAAGAACTACTGTGGCACCTCAAAGTCTAAAAATAAATCTAATTAATTTGCGCTTTTACTTGCCGCCATGGAGTCTTCAGGGATATTTGAAGAGGTTCCATAGCACAAACCTTTTAGAAAATCTGTGCTAAAAATCCCCATTTTTAAGAATTGCCATTAACAGAAGACATTAAAATGCCACGAAAGACACTAAGAAAAGAGACATCTAAACGTTTATATCAACTTAAAGTTTCTGGATGTGCCACTAGATTGGCTTCTT